CACCCCTCCTCTGTGTGCAAATCCTACATGTTCTGGGCACTGCATACTCCCTCCCCTCTCTCCTTCTGCCTCCAAATATGTTGAATTCTGAAAATGTCTTGCCAGCCTCCTCCCTTCTCCCAAGCCTTTCCTCACCTGGCTCTCTCTCCCTTGTTAAATCTTTCCCCTGTCCAATTTCCCTGAACTGCAAAAACACTGGCTTCTTAGACACAACACCAAAAGCATAAGCTCTTAAGAGAAAAAAATAGATAAATAGGACATTATCAAAAATAAAATCTTTTGTGTTACAAACAATACTATAAAAATAGTAGAAAGACACCCCACCCACTAGAATGGTTACAATCCAAAAGACAGATAATAACTAGTGTTGGCAAGGATGTAGAGAAATGGGAACCCTCATACATTGCTGGTGGAATGTAAAATAGTGTGGCCACTTTGCAAAACAATTTGGTGGTTCCTCCAAAATGTTAAACATAGAGTTACCATATGACCCAGCGATTCCTTTCCTAGATATATACTCAAGAGAAATAATAATGTTCACAGAAAAATGTGCACAAATGTTTAGAGCAGCATAATTCACAACAGCTAAAAGGTGAAAACAATCCCAATACCTATTAAGGGATGAAAGGATGATTAAAATGTGATATGTCCACAAAATGGACTATTATTTGGCAATAAAAAAGAACAAATCTGTGACACATGCTACGACATGGTTGAACCTTGAAAATATTATGCTAAGTGAAAGAAGCCAATCATACTGTATGATTCCATTTACATGAAATGTCCAGAATTGGTAAATCCATATATAGAGACATAGATTAGTGGCTGATAGGGGGTGGTGGGGAATGGAGAGTGTTAATGGGCACAGCGTTAATGTTATGGAATTAGTGGTGTTGGTCACACAGCTCTGTGAATATACTCGAAGCCACTGAACTTTAATTGGATGAACTATACTATATGTGAATGATAGCTCAAGAAAGCTGTTTTTAGGCCAGGCGCGGTGGCTCACGCCCGTAATCCTAGCACTCTGGGAGGCCAAGGTGGGTGGATTGTTTGAGCTCAGGAGTTCGAAACCAGCCTGAGCA